CCTTTCGGCCGTCCGACCTGATTGTCCTGTTTTTGCTTCTCATTTTGGTTGTCTTGCATTTCATGACATATTTGAACCTGATTCTTGGATAGACAAAAACACTTGTATTTGAAGGAGGTTAGATAAACATTTCAAAGTACCAAGAATGACAAACTAGACATACTTAAAAGACAGTATCTTTGATCGGAACCAAAAATGACTAAATTCGTTTATATTATTTCAATCTTGTTTGCCACATCCAAAGCATCGTAGATTGGAGTCAATCAAACATATGCTTTCCTTGTTCCATCAGGCCTGATCAATCTTGGTCAGTATAAACGAACTTTTGTGATCATCAAAACCAAGAATAACAAATCTAATTGTAAACATATTTTAACAATTTATCCTTTTTTGTGTATTTCATATTTATCTTGTTATTCTTATGAAAATTTTATGAAATAATAATATCTCAATAGGAATTTTAATCTTTTTTACGGAGAAGAAATTACAAAAACTACTAAAATTTAGAAAAGAAATTTAAAATATTAACAATTATCGTTATAAATTTTGGTATTCAAGATTTTCAATTTTTTTACATTCCAAATTATGGCGGTACAAGTGGTTCTATTGTTTCTCTCCGTATAATTATATAAAATTTTCTAAGTTGCTTGGGTGATAAAGTCATTTGAGCATCAATGAGGTAAGCATTGGATCCCAATTAATTGACAGGATAGGTAAGTGATATTTTAAAAACCTTGAGAGAGGACAGTGAAATTGTCAGAAATATCAAGGGAGCTTTTTGAAATTATCCCCAATTAACAAAGCAAATTTCTCTTGAATGCAATTACCAAACAATAGCCCAAAGGCGTTGCAGGCAGATCCGCAACGGAAAACTGAAAGCAAGCAATTGCCTTGCCAGAAAGGACAGCATCACGTGGTGGCCACACCAACCAGCTATGGATGATCACCACGTGTTAATTTCTACTTTCGGTAATTTTCACAATTAATAATTGCTGCAGCCAATAATAGCCTTGATTTAGATCCGGGCACGTTTTCTCAACATTCTAAGTGGGGTTTGCTTGCGCCATGGTCGCGCGAGGCTCCTGAAAGAGTTCACGTGGCAAAAGCTGGGAGCTTGGACGGCCAAGTGTGGAGTCCAGGCAGGTGTGACTCCACAGTTTGCCGCTGTCAACGAGAAGCAAAGAAGCTTCTTCATTCATTCAATCATTCCACAATATCTTCCTATGTCTTCAAGTTTCTTGTAGGATAGGTTGAACCCAAAAATGAAAAAATCTAGAATAAGATTTCAATCCATATGTCGACCAAATACAAATATTAGTCTTTTAAAAAAATATAATATATTAGCATGCAACATGATTACAACCAATATAAATTTTTTTTAGCGGGTATTCAACAATCATCCGTTAAAACACCTAACCCAACTTATCATGTGAAAGTATATAATAACAAATTTTTTTTATAATTATATACTAACAATTTTAAATCTCCCTTTCATTTGTACATCTTCTCATGATTACAATTAATACAGTTTTTTTAATGGATGCTTAGTGTATACTTGTTAAGACATATAAATTACACCCAATTTATCACATGAAAGTATACACAAACAAGTATAAATCTCCCTTGCATTTATATACTTTCTCTAATTAAATTTACTTTTCCAAAAATTTAACTCCTGAACTACATGTGGGCACTTGTTAAACAGATTCATTAATATACACCAATATAAAGATGCACTAATAACTCGTGAGACTTGCATCTAAAATTTCTAACTTTTTCTGGTTTCAATTTTGATTGCTTCATGCTAATTCAAAACCTCATTACATGCCAATATTCTATGTGTATGGGTAGAATCAAATACTAACATATTATGTTCAACATGATCACAATTAATACATAAGATTAATTTTTTTATATTGTCAAATATATGCACTAATAATGCATAAAACATTTATCTTATTACATATATGATATAACGCTGTACTAATGATTTATGAAATTTGAATTTAAAACCTCTAATTCTGATTGTTTCAAACACTAAAACATGCCCTCATCAGTACGACGGGTACCTATTTGATTACTATGACTGAGGCGGAACTGAGATGTTACAAACCCCAAAGCCGAGTCGAATATGCTTTCATGTTGTTTGGTGCTTAGTATATTCAATTCTGCATTCGTCATTGAGGCAAATTATACCAATGATATCTTCATGCCCTCTCATCCGTGCAAATTTGTCTCGTACTCCTTCAATGTGACTTACTTTCTTTTACCTTTAAATTAACCCAACTTGATGCTATAGAAAAAAAAAAAAAAAAATACAACACGGCCTTGAGATTTAATAGCATCTAAACAAAGTCGGCAACAATCTGATCGAAGCCAAAACAATAATACCTTTTTCCTCCCTCCTTCTCGTTATTACATACACTGATTGAGCTATTAGAGAATGCATTGCATACTTTATAACTTGGGAAAAATCTCTGTCTCTTTAGGAAACCATTCTCTTAATTTTTATCTCTTAGTGACTATTCATGCTATGCATGGAATCACAAACGGTCAAAAATCATTTAAATTTTAGAACAAAGTATTTAATATTATTCTTTAATATTAATATAATAGAAATATCTAAAATCCTATTCGTGTAACGCAATTATTGATTATTACTTTATTATTGAACTTGAAAGCATAACATTAGTCAAATTTATCTTATAATAAAAATAACTCAAAAAATTTAGAGGGAAAGATATTCAGAACAAAATAGATAATACTAGATAGATTCTAGAAGACATCAACCTGTGAATAATATAACAGTAGATAGTGGTTCAAATTTTAAACAATTAATGTCAGGACAAACTAATGGCTCAAAACAATTATTTCACCATCCCAAATGCTAAATTTTACTTGAGGGTTTGATACGTAAAAACACACAGTAGAATATCCCTATGTCTTAAGATTCTTCGTAGCCAACTTCCTAAATTTAATATATTATCACACTCTTATCCATTTCCGTCCAACTTTTGAATTGAATTGTTAAAATGTTAGAACTCCAAATTCATGTTGTAGCTTTAATCATGGTCAGCTTATATAGCATGATAACATTACAAATGCTGATGACAGAATTCGTACGGTCAGTTCACTACACCTCTCAACAGATTGTTAATGTATCTTGACTCAAGAGGCCTTCATAGATAGAATCAGTTATACTAATTGATCATTTTATTGTAGGGGATAATATTAGAAACCTCCCTTTAGGTTTCTCCTAATATCACTTGGCACTCATGATGTTTTAAAAATATCGCTACATCCCCTGATAATTATAAAAAGACTATATTAATCCTCACTTGATACATAATTTACATATCAAATAAATGGAGCTCAAAAAATAGAAACAAAAAGAAACAAAAATCACTTTCTTCTCTCTCCTTTCTCAAACATTTTCCTTTACTCATTTTTTTTGGATGACTATGAGGTCTTTTACTTGTAAATTATAGTATATTAAATTTTGTTTGCCTTTTAATTTTTGTAATTGTGATAGAGTGCGTTATGATTTTATTTTGTTTATTTTGAGTTAAATTTTATAATGATGAGTATAATTTAAAGGTTTGGGCACGGATTGAGAAGAAGTTAGAAAAAAAATATAAGGTTCATAAGGAATTGGTTTTGAGCATATAGAGTTAAATTGGTACTAGTGTATTTCTTTGTAAATATCTTTTCTGCTTTATAAATTTATATTTTTATGGACTATAGTATTGTGATATGGTAGTACTATTAGAAATTGTTTTTTAGGTGATAGTTTTCTTAGACCAAACAAAGTGGGTTTGGAGTATTTTTATTTAACAAGTAAAAGGATAGTTTAGGATTTTTTTAAAAATTTTGTTACACAAATAATCAAAGGAAGGGAGGTAAGTGATATTTTTAAAATCTTAGAGGGGCTAGGTGATATTTAAAAAAATCCCAGTGGAGGTTTCTGATGTTATCCCTTATTGAAAACTAGAAAACAAAAAGGAAAAAGAATTGAGCTTTCTATTCAGCTTACTGATTTATGAATTTCGATCTAAAGGAGATAAAATGTCATGTCAAGAACTTCCACTTGAAAAAAAAAGTCGTTAATGTCATGACCAAAGAAATTGACTCCAGCCAAACTCTTGGATACAAGTCGATTTTGAAACCCTTGGAAACAACTAAAGAGCTCGACAGGTTAGCTCTCAAATATTGTTTTTTTACCCCGTTCTATGTTCTTCCTCCTCCATAATGTCCCAATTCTTCTCCTCAGATCCTTTATATTGTAATTGATCCTGCCTCTTTCTACTCAAAAGAAGGGGAAAATTAAAAAAAAAAAAATATTGAGCCTACCTCCCTCTATTTATGGTGGAGGAACTCGACACTTTGTGTCTTAGCAAGTGCTTAGCGATTCAGGAAAGTGTCATAATTAATTTCTGGAACATCGCTTTTGAAGTGGATTTTCACGAAATGAGTTGCATATTTGGAGAAATCGAACAAAAATTCCATCATTCTTACTATTCTTAATAAGAAGAGAGTATTAATGTGAATAACCCCTTTTGATATAGACGATAGGCTGGAACACAAGAAGGAAAACAAAATTGCTAAATTCCTTTAGTTAAACGTTATAGCCGGCAAATCCATTTCTCATCAAAAAATATGCACAACAAAGCTTTTTTCGCCTGAGCTCATAATCTCAATCCTAGAAAAATCTCTGTTGTGCTTCCTCTTATGCCCCTAGATGTTCTATGCAAATGACACTCTGCTGTTCTTTTCAGGAGGAAAACGAAGACCAAAAATGAAAGTTGTGCCTTAAATGTGAGAATCTTCATCTGAAGAATTAAGAATGCCTCGTGTCAAATGTGAGGAACTATAAGTCAGAAATGGATATGTGGAGGACTGCTTCTGCTATTTTCCCTAGTAGTATCACTTTCGTGAAGATATCAGAAACTACCAGACCAGGGAAAACAAAACTGAAGAACATGAAACAGAAAGCCAGAATATTAGAGAAGAAAAACAGATTCCCTAATAACAGCAGGATCGAATTTCAACACAGCAGACCCAGTTTCCGCCTACCAGAATTTTCCTGCTCCCCGTAGTCTGCTCAAGGCACAGGGTTAATACTCAAGGCTCAATCTAAGATTTATGTAAATCCCTATACCAATTCCTAATATTCCTACTAAATTTCCATATTACAAGCCGCGTCCCAACAATGAATTGAAAAGTCAATCTTCTCCATCTGCACCTTCTTCAGATAATCTCCTCCTCTTTTCTTCTTCCGCTGCAAGAGACACAAAGTTGTCAAGCAACGAAAGTTTCCAAGTACCACAAACAACAATGGGGTTGACATGGAAAACAAAATCAAGGCATGAAGCAAAAGCTCTTTTCCCCTATGGATAAAAAATAAAAAGACAAAATACGAGAGTTAAAAACTATGAGAAACATAGAGCAAATGATAAATGAGTTTCTTTTTCCTTCCTTTTTTTTTTGGCGAGGGTGCTGGGGGTGGTGATTAAAAGAGAAAAAAAGGAAAAAAAAAAAAGTCGTAAGAGAGATGGTTCATATATGCAACCAACTTCAAAATCATACATGAGCAGGCCTTTTATACCAAGAGTTTTGCTTGACACAACCATCACATTTACAATTTTCGTAGTACTCTTAATCCTTTCATAGAAAATATGGTTATATTAACTCCCGTTGGTATGACAAGCATAAATCTGCAAATGTGGGAGAATTTGCTCATCCTACTAGAATCTCCCCAAAAAAGGGGATTTCAAAGAGAACTAACTACATAAGGAGGACACAGAAACATCAAAATTTGCTTGGTAGAATGAAAATTTGGAAAATGGGAAAATAAGAGTTTAAACATTCATTTATTCAGTAGAAAACCATACCACATCCAGACACCATACCACTTCAGACAAATAGCTGACACAACAACGAGAGTACCCACAAAAGAAACCAAAAAAAAAAGGATAAAATAAAGCAATTCAAAAAGATCTTATAACAGAATAATCATTTGTAATACAGCTCTGAAAAGAACCTATAACTAGATTGATCCTAAATCTTTTGGATTTGCCCCCAGTTACTTGACACTGTTATGAGGAGGTGGCACAACAAAGGACAAAAAGGAAAGCAAGATTTTTTTTTAATTTTAATTTTTTTTTTAAGGCAAAAGGAAAGGAAAGTGAGACGGAGACAAAGTAAAAATAAAAATAACACAGGAAAGCATCAAATTAACATAACAAGGCCTACATGAGGAATCCAATCAACATGAAAACCTGGGAGAGTTTCAACAATGTCAAAGTGAAAACATTGTCCAGAGATTTTTTAAAACTGGTCATGGTCTCAAGAGTCCCCTTCAAGAAACTGGTACAATCTGTTTACCATGACTCGACATTCAAGTGTGTCTATAGTCTCACTTTAATTGTTGTACCTCCAATTTCTTCCCTTTCTGATATGCACATTGGAATAACCCAAAAAAAAAAAAAACCAAACTAATCATTAGAAACATAAAATTTTCTTAATCTTTGAATTAGTTTACTCCAAAGATTGTTCTGAGAGAAGCAATCTCACTTACAGATTCAATCGTTTTGTTTTGTTCTCTATAATAGTTATCATCATAAGATTTCAGAGATGAAGCAGTTTGAGCATGCTTCTGTGTGTACAAAGTATGTTTATTTATCAGCAACTTGCTAATGATCCCTTAGTCCACTACTAAATTAGATTGATGCAATTTTGGACAGGATTATAACTTTTATGCATAGTCAATTTCTGTATCAGAATTTTATTGCTCAATAGTTAAGTGGTCTAATTTTTCATGATATGTGATCATGGAATTTTTGCGAACTTGAATTGCAAAACTAAAACTAGTGTTACTAAGTATTTGTCCAGTACAACAGGGAACAACCACTAAAGAACGAAGTAAAAGGAAATCCCTAAAATTTTAAAGACATAAATGTTGGTTTGCACAAATATTACTTGCTCTTTAACCTTCTAGATTGCTTTCTCGAAGCCCTGGTCAGAAAGAAAAAATTCTCCCAGGAATGATAGTGTGCCTTACAGCTTTATGATCATTTAGAGATATCCATGATGAAGAATACAAAGACAAGTGCAAATGTTTGGAGAATCCAGTGAACGACAGACTTCTGACATTTCCCCTATTTTCCCCCTAATATCGTTTAAAGCTTCATTTCACATTTTTGATACTAACACACTGTTCCATCCAAAGTAGGAAAATAATTAAATAGATCTGGAGCACCAGCTGTCCATAGTTCATGTGGCTAGCATTTGTCATCAGAAACAAAACTACTTTATTCTTTGTTTGGGACAACATTGTAGTTTTGTGACATTGCCAACAAAATGGCCTGTGAACAGCTAGTAAGCTTCTAGAAGTGAAAGTGTGAGTTTAAAGTCAAATTAGATAGCAGCCTTTAAAAGTAGTCATATCAGATAGCAGCCTCTATAAGTAGTCAAATCCAATTCAGTTTATTACACACTTAGCTTATAGCTCATTTTGTCATGATGTCTACTTAACTACAAAAATTTATTAGTCCTGAAGAAGTCTTGGCCTCCAAGAGTAGCTCTCTCAACACATAGGTATTATCAAAGCCTTAGGAAGTGAAAATGAAAATATTTGTTTTCACGCTTTTTTTTTTTGAGCTGTCACGTGTTTGTGTTGTGTGTTCTTATCGATTCTATTTCCTTTTTCTGAACTTGCGCAGTTAATCATATGGAAATCCAGGTAACATTTCCTAAATTTCTACTCTTCTTCATTTCTTCGGTTCTTGTAAACTCTTACTTCTGCCCTCATCTATCTACTGATTCTCACAAGTTATAACATCAAAAGTTCTGAAATCAGATAATATCCACATAGCTTCTTGCTGCTGCATCAATCCCTTTTTCACATATCATGATAGTTCTATGATCTTCTACATCTAGTTTAAGAAAGGCAAGATTGAATTGAGTTTTATGTATGCTCATACTAGGAATTATGGTGTTCGGAGTCTAGATGCCTCCTAGGATAACATGAATAATCATGTCAAATGGCAAAAGGTGCTCAATCATTGAATGGTATCTGAAAGAATAAGTTTCTCTTTAAAGTAATTACATTGCATACAGCTTTATAAACAAAAAGAATGATATTAAGATGACTCCCTTAGTATTTGATTGGTTTGTGAAGGAATGATGAAGTATCTATGCTGGTGCAATTAAGGAACGAAGACTAAAAGTTGGGACCATTTCATATTGCAATTGCAAATTAAGAAGGCGCTTTAGCTACCGCAAAGTTGGCCAAAATTATTCACAGTGATACAGATCATGTTCTTTTAAGCTAGTCAAGTACATTAAATTGGACAGAGAGAAAAGACTCTCATAGGCTTCAAGCAAGTTGCTTAGTTCAGCAACTGCAAGATCCTTTGCTTTTTACAGCATCAAATTATTTCCATGGAGGGGCTAGAGAGGAACTAGAAGAGAGATTTATTAATTTTTAAGAGAAATAATGGCGGTCAAAATGAGTTTATGAAAAATTTACAACCATTGTGATGACCAATCTCAAGTAAACATGTCCAGGGATGAGATAATTTTCATGAATGATCCAAAGATGTGTTATTCTATATGATCTAAGTTCCACTTGCCACAGCATCTATTTTATCCATTTGAATGCATGTTGAAAGTTCCTTGCCGCTATTTTACTATTTCCACATGAGAACACTGCTGGAGCAACTTCCAGCAGACAGACAATTTGTCTGTCAGAAAGTCAATAAAAACTACTCTCTTCTCTCTCTCTCTCTCTCTCATGCACCTACACATAGTTCTTAGCTTATCGCCTGTTCCATGCACTACAAGCTAGATAAAAAGAGACCAACATCATATTCAAACTAAAAAGTATCAACTTATGACATCTCAAGTTCCAAATATGGAACCTTGCTGCTTTCTCATTAAGGCATAACCATCTACAACAACCAGAATGTTGCTTCAAAAGACTTCTCTTATGATGCAAGAAGTGGGACAAATACAAAGTCTTCATGATCAAATGCATGTTTTTTAGAAAAACCAAAAGAGAACTGACTTTCTTCCCAAAGCAGCAGGTTCTTAGGAAATTTAGAACTCTAGAGTTGAACTGTGATGAAGATCATTGTCTAATCTTAATGCCTGAAATCCTCGTGTAATTCAGTTCCTTATCCTTTTGGTCCAGATTTTAGACCTTATCTGCTAGAGTCATCTTCAATCAACTGGCTTGGGTTGGATGGCATTTGTTCGCAAAATTTGAGTTTTACTTAAAACTTTCTACCATCAAAAGGATTTCCACCACAAAAAGATTTCGGCCAAGCTTTGATTAGGTGGCTAATTTAGCACAATACCCTAAAGCTCACAGAGATGGAGTCAAAGAAGAAGTAATTTTGATAAAGGCAAAAGTAAACTGATTTACACAGCTAAAACAGAGAACTTTTAAGTCTGACAATTGAATGGAATTTTAATCTAATTAGCTTATTTTTCCTATTTATTTGAACTCCTAAAGTCCAAAAGCATTTCACTCTCATCATTTTTCTTCATATGCTTTCTACCTATGCTTAAACTACAACCCTCTCGTCCTGTAATCCAATCTAATAGAACTCCTGTATCAGTTCTCAGTCACTTGGAGAAATAACTCATCTTCTGATGATTTTTAATTGCAAGTTTACAACAACTGGCTAGGAATCTACATGTATGTCTCAACTATGGACTCTATCTGATCACAACCTAATCTTCCATCCTAATGCCAAAAATCCTAATCTACTGCAATTCCTTACCCTTTCATCACGACCTAATGTTATCTAACTTATCTAACGGAATTTATCCTGCATCATTTATTAATAGTTTCTTGTCTTTGTAGACATCAATGGTCAACAATGTAGACCAGGATATCACTGAGCATAAAAAATGAAAAAAAGAATTAGCCAACAGTCATAGGTTCCGTTTGATAAAACTGAATCTTGATTCTGAAGTCTGAATTCTGAAATCTGAATACTGAAACAATTAATTTGCTGAATTTTAAGTACTGAAAAAAATATATGAATGTCTGAATTTTAATGCTAAACCTATTTATACTGTTTGATAAATATTTATAGTTGAATGCTTAATAAGTTTAATTTGACAATTTTGCCTTATATCCTTTCATTCAAAAAAGAAATAGAATCTATGATTTAATTAGTTTAAATTTGTTAGGTATGAAAATGACAATATTTGTTTTTAAATCAAATTAATATAAAAGATGAAATATATTATATGAGGAGTATGGAGAAGATGTGGAAGTCATTAAAAAGGGAGAAAAGAGAAACTAAAAATCGTTAGATAGAGAATATTAGATTGTTTAATTAGATAAGAATTTTGAACATAATTAACAAACAATGGTAGATTTGGTAGATAAGATAAGGTAGTTGAAGTAATTCTATTGATTCTTATCAGAATTAAGCATTCAGTTAGATTCTTGTGCTGAAAAAAATACACACAGGTTCAGCACTGCTTAACAAGTTCAGTAAATAGATTTTCATTTATCAACATTCAAAACATCTGAATGCCTGAAAAAATTTAGATTCAGCACTTTTTTATGTTATCAAACAGACCCATAGTCTAAACTAACAGCTCAGAAAAGTATCAAATGCTCAGTTTTGTCACCTATTGGTTTCACCAATAGAAGTCTCAATTTCTTTTCATTTGATTGGGGGCAACTTTGCCACACAAACTCACACCCCTATATATAGTTCTTCACATATAATATGTTATAACAAACTGCCCTTCACTACAACTGTTAATATCCAACCCCAAGATTAATTTCCACAGCAAGACATTCTCCAATAACTACTCTATTATGAAAGAACAAGGTTCGTTACTTCATAGACAAAAGAAGGATAACTATCAGTTGACTTTGTTAATTGTGATTTTATATCTTTAACAAAATAAAATTTTGTTGAAAAGTTCAGTTTCTGTTGCACATATACTATAACAATGCTTTCCATCAATTCCATCCAGTCTCACTATGAAACTCACAAAAATTCAACCAGACAAAGGACATGATAGCAAAAGATAAAAGGGATGAAAAAGCAAACAACTATTACTTCCAAACAATCAGGTTAAACTTTTAACCAATGGCCCAGGTCCTTCAACAATTAAGCCTCAAATTATCCCTTAAGTTTCAGATAACTCAGGCCCACATGTAGGGTAGCGATGATTCAGGTTTGAACCAGAACTGGCCTCGTGGTTGTTGAACCAGAACTGGAACCAGATTTTGAAAACCGGAACCACAACAGTGACTAAAGGTGTAGGTTCAGGTTCACCAAAATTTTGGTTTGCAACCTGTTTAAACCGTCTAAAAAACATTTGCTACCTAAACCTATTTGGCCAGTTTAGAGTTCAATATCGATAGTTAGCACTAATATGAGAAGCTCCAATTCTAGCCCAACAACCCATTGTCCCATTCCATTAGTCAGTCTGTACCTCATGACTAATCTAAATTCAAGACCAATCTAATCCAATCAATAATGAGATATTTTTTCATAAAATTTGCATCATTTTTTCTATTTCCTTGCATATGATAATACAATAAAATTCTTCTTTTTTTTTTTTTTAACATTCATCGCCATTTTTTTTAGAATCAATTTTACAACAAGTGTTTAAACAGAACTAAAAGAATTGGAACCGTAACTAGAAGAAACCGTGACCGTCCCTATAAGGGCTGGTTTAGGTTCCACCTTTCAAAAGAAGCGGAACTATCGATTTTTGAATCAGAATAACTAGGCCGTGGCCATGTCTATCTACATGCATGTATCAATTCAATGCAGAAAAGTCCATAAGCAAAGTATGTTAAACTCCATTTTCATCCAACTTTTGGTAATCAGCATCAGCCCAAAACAAAGAACAGTTTCTTATGGAAAGTCCCAAACCATAGGTTAATTGATTTCTCAAAGGAAAGTATGTTGGGGAAGAGATTACACAAGCAACCAGACAGAGGAAGTAAAACAGAAGTTCAGAACAGTCAAGGTATAGAAATTGGTTTTCACGGGAGCAAATCGCACTCTTCTACAAACCTATGCAGGACCATCTAAAAATAAGCCAACAAACAGCAAGTGGAATATGCATGTACACAATGGCAATTACATATATCTAAACTATCAATAGAACACTGACTGAAACCAATAATGAAAATGAGGACAAATGAAACAAATAGCATACCCATAAGCTGAAACATTGCTTTTTGTGTACGTTTCTCTAGCTTGTCAAGCTTCTTCTGTACATCCCTCCGCAGATCCCAATTCGGCTTCTTTGGGGCAATATTTAGAAACGGGTCCTGCACATTCAGAAGCCAAGACATGAATACAGGATTATACCTCCAACGAGGTAAACAAACAAACAAAACCACATAAACAAAAGCAATCAAGAAAAACCTCTTTCTTCTCTTGACAAGGAGGTGCTTCAGCCACAGGGTCTTCAAATTTTGGTAGTACCGGAGAGCAACTCTCCCCTCCTGAAGCTGTATCATGAGGAAGGTAATTCCGGAATTTCATGTTGCAAATTTCACATGCAAATAATAACTTGATAGCTAAAATACGAAGTAAATAAATAAAATAATTTATCAGACTAATGGCTCCATTTGAGTTACTTATTACCAAATTTTATGCTCAATGTCCAAAAAACCATATGAAAATCGGGCCAGCTGCCCTACCAAAAACAAAATAAAAAAATTGCCCCCTCTTATCTATCAGAATATTTACAACTTTCCCTTAATAAAATAAATTAATTGTTCAATGTACAACAGCAACATAAAATGTCATCCATCGTAGCATACACTCCGAAACATAAAGGAGTGAAAAGAAATAGAAAAAAGTGGCAATTTTAATAACTAACTGCTACTGTATCCAAACCCTAGTTTCTCTAATTCTTCTACAAATGGAAAGAGTTGAACCAAACAACGAGAGGAAGAGGCAAGTAAAACTAACTACCATCAAGTTCTTACTCTTCTCGTTCTTCTTGGCCTTCTTCTTCTTCTTCTTTTTCGTCATCGTTGTCGGCATCGCGGTCTGGAGGACCAGGAGGAGGAGCGGGGGCGGCGTGGTGGTGGGGAAGGTCGTCTTGGTCAGGAGTGTTGAGGAGTTCCTGAGCGGCTCTGAGAGCTCTAAGCCGCTGTCGCCGCGTCGCTGCTGCCCCCTCTATCGAATCTTCCTCTTCCGTCGCCATTGATGCGAATAAAATTCCAGAAACTTGTCTGAATAAGGACAGACGAGATCCTCTGTCCAATTTTCTGTGTCCAATTTCCTGTCCAACACAAAACTACGTAGTTCCACTTATTCTTGTGGCTGACGTGGCACATAAAAATAAATGCCTGTTTGGCTCCATTATACTTTTGAATCTCTCTTCTTTTTTGGATTTCCTTTATTTACATATCTTTATTACAATTCCCAAAACCCTATTACTACCATAACAATTCCCAAGACCTGTTGCCGTGAGCGTCAAGAAGATTTGGGACTTCTTTGCCGATGGTAAGAAAAAATAATATTCATCTGCACAATTGTTTCTGGCTGACTTATAATTCAAAGACAATGCAATCAAATCACAGCACCTTCTACTTCCCCCGGTTTAGCAGTGATCACAAAAATCACTGTATGTGAAAAGGAAATATATAATTCCATAAAACCAAAAATAAAAAAACTGGCTAAGCATATAATCTTCTAGGCATTGACATCTGAAACAACAATCATCGTGAACCAAATTGCAGCACATATATTTGTTTACCACTGCAATCTGTATGCCTTATAAAATGTGTATGTGGGTGGGGTGGTGTTTTTTTTCTCTGGAAAGGGGGTGGTAAGAAAAGAAAACAGCTATTACATCTTAAAATAGCAGAGGTCTCCATGATGTTTAAAGGTTTTCAATTTTTATCCATCACATGGTTTTTCATTGAATTAGCAACTTTGTCAACCAAGCCAATGAAATATGTCAGTTTTTAACCATATTTCCCCAAGAGATGGATTATAAATTAAATGAACACTGTATCAATGAAGACATAATTCTACTTAAAAAACAAAAAGAGGAATCAATTTACCAGAATAAAAATAGATTGCAAAAGGTACAAGAAACACTTTTTCTATCTGAAAATGTTAAAACACAATTTGTTTTCCTTCAAAGAAAGCGAGAAGGACAATTTGTTTTCCTTCACCAATTTTTTAGATTATTCTTTCCGTTAGGCCCAGCTGCAAATTTTGCTTTGTACTTCCAAGGATTTGATTGTCTCTCTGTATGTCTCAAATTTTGTATTGGACAGGAAATTGGACATAAAAAATTGGACAGAGGATCCCGTCTGCTTAACATAGGATGTAGGAATAAACAATATTTATTTGTAACTATTTTGCTTCTTCACACTAGATTTGTGATAACTGAAAGGAAAAATAATTATACTAAATCTCGAACAAAAAACCAAAAAAAAAAAGCAATAGTGCCACCATAAAAAATTTGAAAAATGTTTTCTAAAAGCATGTAGGGATTATTTATGTAACCAAAATGATTTTCAACTATATCAAAGCATAATATAAATGTATAAAAAGTTTTATATAATTTCTATTTGCCATGTAATTACTACAAACTCCTAACTTTAAAACGTTTCCAATGGAATGAAAAAAAAATTTTACTTCCTAATGTAATTATTTAAAACTACAATACTTGAAGAAGAAAGGTTTCGGATTTGCTTACAATTGTTAAGAATTTATAGTAAAAGTCAAGCAGAGAACTATAAATAAAACTTTTTTTTGGTAAGTGGGAGGTCTCAAATCCGGGACCACTCACTTACACTTCCTTCCCCCATACTACCCAGCGCATCGCTCCGCCAAATGAAACTTTGATGATAGATATATCTACAACTGTAAAGAAAAAATAATTGAGCGTATAATATGTAGAAGTTAGATGATAAAGATAATGTTCTTTTCAAAATTTAATTTGAAAAAAATTCTAATAGGATCGATTAAAAATGACCCATCAAGAGTGAGTAATAAATTTGTTAGAAGAAGCATATCGAGAATTCAACATGACAACATATGTGATAAGGATAATAATAAATTTTAAATTAAAGATATTGGTGGAAAGATTATCCAAAATTGAGAGAAAAAAAAAAGAATAAAGGCAAAAGGAAATTGAGAGAAACAATAGCTAGTCAAAGAGCATGTAGACATTGAGAGAGTAAGTATGAAAAACTCGCTATGTCAAATAGCCACATAGGAAAGATAGGGAAAAAAAAGAATAAAGACAAAAGAAATTGAGACAAACAATAGCTAGTCAAAGAGCGCATAGACATTGAGAGAGCATGTACAAAAAACTCACTATGTCAAACAGTCACGTAGGAAAGAGATAAAGGTAAATGGATAAATATTAGAATACAACTTTATTATATATATATATATATATATGAATTTTGATTTATTATTATTATTTTGAATTTATATGTATTATTAGCAACTTGATTTACATCTAATATTACAACACTAACCCCTCAAATATTACTCTCTCCATTCCATTAAAACTGTCATATTTTTCTTTTTGGTATGCCCCAAATTTATTTTCACTAATCCAAAATAGCAACGTTTCTACCCTTTAGTTTCACTGCTTTTTTTATTGAAAGCGATGGATCTATTAATTTTTTGTTTCATCTGTTTGCTTAATAATCAATTTGCATGAGTTGCACTGTACTCTATTGGTTCATTAAATATCGAAGCATGTTAACACGCAAGAAGTTTGTTCAAATATAAGATAGTACCAATCAAAAGTACCTGACCCCCATGTCATGATATTTGTCCCATCTTGTAACTATTGCAATAGCAAATGGCCAATTAATGCAATCCCATGTGGGCAAAATAGGAAAACATGCAAAATATACCACTGCTTTTTTCATTGTTCATAAAAAGTGCAAATACTAAAGTTCGACAAATATTGTAGAACTGAGGAAGTATATGTCATATTACGGCTACTCTTAACTTGGCCATTCATGCTCTACATGCAAAAATTATTGATGTAAGTACTAGACAAACCCAAATATAAAAATTTATAATAATCAACTAAGAGTATGAAACTATTACATTTTTCATATGATAATTGAATATCCAATAGAATTACATGACACTTAAAGTTTCATTTATAAGATGAGAGCAATTATTCTTTCTATTTATGAAAACTACATCCAAAATGAAGTCATCTATCTCCTAACATCAACCAGCAATAATCATTTTCAGGCCTAAGATAAGCCATTTTATGATAAAATATTTCTAACCGATTCAATAAATATCACATCTTCAATATATATATATCCCTTAACAAATTCTAACTATAATATTATTTTTCTCAAGGACTTCTATAACTCTACAAGCTACCACAATTATAATGCATAATTTGGATATATTCATATGCATAATTGGGGAATTGATACGAGACCATGTTAGATAATCAAATTAATTACATTACAAACACATCAAAGCTCTAACCCTATTTTAATTTTCATTTTGCAATAAAATATGCTTCTATTTGTGAACTCCATGTTAAATATTTAAGAAAATGAAAATTAGTTTTTTTATGCCATCAATCAAATTTTTTTTTATGATTTCTATATTTTTGAAATATATACTCTATAATTTCACCTTTTTCCTCTGTTCAGTATCTTTTACTAAAGTTTATCAATTTCAATAATTGTTACTAAAAATCAACAAACATTTATTAGTCTAAATATAATTATTATTAAACTCCTAACATTTCAATAGTTCACACTTTCCAAATACAAGTAGTCTCATGCGATCTCCAACTAGTGTAATAGTAAATGCTAATGTCTAAAACTCTAGACACTTATAAATATACTAGTGTTAAGGACATACCCATGTATGTGCAATTTAAGAATAAATTAATTTTTATAAAATTTTCTTTATTGAATTGATAGTTATGCCCATTGGTAGTTACCTTAGTAGTTAAATTATATTAGCATATTAGCAATTTAAGCATATTAGCAGTTGTAATGAAAAATTATGTTGGTGATATATAATTGGTTAGTTAGGATAAATTTTAGCTTTTATAAGGATTAAATTGAAAGTTTAACAAGTGATAAAAGATGTTTACCCCAATCCCTTCATCTCAATTTATATAATAGAATATAGATATATAGATATAGAAAAAATATTTATTTATTTATTCCCTCAATTTCCATTGCCCCACTATAGGCGGGGATGTGATGCATAAGTTCAAAAACATTTTTAGCAACTGGCAACTAGCAAACACGAGTTTTCTAATTCCCAACTATGTGATTAGAATCCTACTTCCATTTCTTATTTTAAAACCTTGCAAGTCACTTAATTATAAAGGGCAAAAAACCTATACGCTGATCAAACATTTAAGTAGGGCAACTTGTGACGATCCCACCTCTCCCTAGGGCGTACCTCAGGGTTTAACGGACCGCCGCCCAACTCTCGCCAGGACTCATTCACTCTCTTCTCTCAAAAAAAAATTTATAACTTCAAAAGTAAATGAAACAACAGTTCCCAAACTTGGAATGTACATTTATACTCATTTCTATCTCAAACGTTCATACATTCCTAAATATAACAAAAGATTCAAGTTCTATCTCAAAAGCGAGTCCTGGCGAGAATTGGGCAGGCGGTCTGCCAAACCCTTGGGTTCGCTCTAAAGGGAGGTGGGGTCGTCGTCGTCACACAACTTTTAACCCCTCAACTATTAAATGAGCACTTTTAGACCTCGAGTTTATAAAAAGGTCAATTGCCAACTCTTTTGGCTAGTTTAGTCGGTTTTACAATTGGTAAGACCATCATGTGAGACATAGCCCCCAAATTTGAAGAATCGTTTTGTCCATATAGAGATAAGAAATCGAAAAAAAACCCCTTACCAACTATTGAAGAAATCCCTAGTATCATATTTTCATCAACTAGAGTTGTAAAAACTGAGAAAAAAAAGGTGAACAAGGATGCCTTAGTCAAAGGCAACAATATACAATTTTGTAGCCTTCCCCTTCCCATTATGCCTTCCCCTTCCCATTATTATGCTCATGTGACAAAGAAATGAAGATAATAACTTCATGGAATGATCAAAATTCAAGGAGGAGGCGCATTATTTGCTTGATAGAAGTCGATGGCTGTAGGTATTGAGATTAGATCGATGAAAAGATATGGCGTCTGTCTATGGAGTAGATACTTCGGGCTTTTAAGGACAGAAATGCAAAGAGATGA